GGGTGCGGGGTGGGAAGCGCATCTTTTCCTTCGTTCGCCGTTTGAAGTGATGCACTCTCTCTAACCAAGAATAAATTAATTGCTTTGCTTTCTTGGTCTCAGTAAAGGCACCCAAAATCTCATGTATTTATCTTTTATAAATTATGTTTATTTTTAATATTGCATGCTCATGATTCTTTCATTTGCTGAATGGTACGCTTTGCTGATGCTGTGAGACCATCCCTGAATATCCTGCATTTATTCTTTATTTCGCAGAGTATTTCGTGGGGCCCGCAGGCGTCTCCACAGCCCTATATTGCAAATGTTCTCATTCTTTCTTCCCAGGCCCACTCCCAACTTGGATCATTTATAGCATTTGCTGCTTCAGCTTTGAGATAATGGTCACTGGTGGCTCATTGTTGATAGATGGCAAACACGTGCATGCCTGGTGCTGCTAAGCCTTACAGGCCGGGTGCCTCTGAGCTAGAGAATCAGAACGGCAGTGTTGTTCCTGGATGTCAGAGGAGGGAGCAGAGTGTAATGGAAATCTAAGCACCAAGGGGTTGGGGGAGTTCTGCTAAATGAAACGTGGAGCAAAGGGATCACTGAGTCTCTCCCCTTTCCTTATGCAGGAGGCTTACAGGTCCGGTACAGCCTCGGTGGCACCAGAGAACCCTTTAGCATCGACGCAGACACCAGGAACATGGCCAATGGGCAGCCCCACAGCGTTAACATCACCCGTCATGGGAAGACCATAGTCCTCAAGGTACCCACATGTGTACATGTCAGTTGCATGCGACGTAGTGTGAACACCTCTGTCTGTAGCACCTGGCCGTCGGTTTGGTTTCGTTTCGGGCAGATGGAAGAGATGCTTGCTCGTGCTTTCTCCGATAAATTCCTGACTAGTGAAGCAGAAAGGGATGTAGTTCTTATAGGAGAGACAAGGACGAAGTTGATGGCGATGAAATTTCTTAGGGAGGACCTAGAATAAGTGTTTGCTCTGTACATTCTTTGTCGCTTCCCTGCCTGTGGCCCACACATTACTGTCTCCTGTTTTTATCCACCACCCCATGCTTTTCTCCCATGCGCTCAACTGTCTGGAGCTTACCAGGCTTCCCAGCAGAGGTTAT